CCCCCCCCCCTCCGGAGGCAGCGGCATCTACCCCAAATAAACGCGTCGTTCCCTCGCTCTAGGGATCGCCCTGCGGCGGTCTCTTCCTTTGGAGGCACCCGGGGTGCTCTAAAAGACAAAAGGAAATTGATGCACCCGAATTCTGGCCGAAATATGACACTACGGACGGTTAATCCGAATTGGGTACTAATCGAAATTGATTCAGTCCTCTAGAACGCGGATAACTCAATGTTCCGCAGCTCCAGGGAAGGAGCTTCGTTATCACCCCACCCCAACCCAGCACGTGCGCGCCCCTGCAGTGTGACCTTGACCTTTCGGCTGACCTGAGGATATCTCGACCAATGGATTGGGGCCCCACCTCGAAGACCACGCCCCGCCCCGTGGTGGTTTGCATAGGCCTCGTGCCGGAGCCGCCAGTCACGGCGTCACTGTCGTCATCTGTCGTCTGCAGTATTTATGAAATCGATAAAGTGACAGACCAAGGGCACCTTCCCCTGCCAAACAACGAAATACGACACTGTTTTGCAGATGTATCACTACGAAATGCGCAAACCCACCCTACCCAGGCGGCCCAGGCATGTGGTGTGGAGAATCTTTCAAAATTAACTTTGTTTCTAACGTGAAAATTACCATGATAACATGTTTGCGAATACCCAACCCTCTGATGTGTAGTGAGGAATGATTACCTGGTGTTGTTACATTTTGATGGCCAATTTACTTTAACTTTATTCGAATTAAGTTCATGATTTGTCATCTTTTGGAAATGTTGACATTAAAAACGGCCTACATCAAAGTTTATCAGAAATCCCTACAGATCAAAGGACGTTACTTCACTTGCATGGAGAAGGGGGTCTGGCCAAGTCGACTTTTCGAGAGATTATCGCATGTTGCTGTGGGCGTCCTATCACTTAGCTACACTGACATCCCTGCTGGTCGCTCGCCTGTCCTGTCGCGCGCTTAAAATGGCCAAAGTTAGATGAGCTGCTTGAAGTCCAGGACGCGCCGACAGTCATGTATACGTTATGCACGCTCGCTCATGCTCGCCACCTGAGCACGAGCACGAGATGGGCTCAGTGAGGATGGTAGGGCGGTCCCACTCCCCCCTCGACGGCCGCTCCCTCGTGCCTCCGTCCCGAGCACGATCCTGACCACGAGTACGATCTCCGGAGCCGCTACAGTGTTAAAAATATTTTCTGATTTCCCAACATTATTTTTACGATACGAAGCAAACTGTGAAATCGCAAACACTTCTTTGTAGTCAAAAATAGTGCATTTTGCAACTTTACTTGGAAATAGTTGTGAACCAATCGTAATAATTTCTGAAGTTATCAATTTTTGACAACGAAGAAGAGCTGTGATTTCACAAAGAGTTCTGGCGACTTTTTCACAACAAATTCTTCGTGGAGTTCTTTCTTTTTTTAACAGTGTGGCGGTCGCTGGCCTAGTCACGGTAGAAACAATTGTTGTATTTTGTTCTTTTTATTATGAGGAAATTGGGAAACTTTGAGAAACTCGAAATAATTTGGTGAAAACTCAGATTTTCGAGGAAGGGACAAAAAAAAAATCAAAATGTACCCCAGTATGTGTGAAGGTACTGTCGATGTGTAAATACCTAAACAAAAGTATGAAGGATCCCCGAGTAGGATCCAGCAGCTTGCGAGCCGGTGAGGCGCTGAACATTTAGTTGCCACGCACAGCAGCGAATGACACGCTCGTGACTGCCACGCAAGAGGGGCACCCCCGTATTGCATAACGGTATGTCCTCCGTCTCTCTTCCTCCCAGAATGCACTAACAAAAGAGAAGAGCAATGTTGCCATTAGTTTTGAACTAACTTTTCCTCGTACACTGGTAAAACAAGTATTTAATTTTGCACGTCAATTAATGTAGTTCAAGTGTGCATTTCCTAGAAACATAGAAACATAGAAACTAGGTTAGACAATCAATTGATGTTAAAACTTTTCACATTTCCGAGAAGTAAAGCATTTGCACTGTAAAAAGTTTTCGTGATTTTACGAAAAAAAATGTTACGAAATGCTTCGTTAAAAAATAATTTACGAAAAAAATTCGTAAGTGTCAATTTACGAAACGTTTCGTAAAGTTACAAATATATTTTGTAACGAATGCAAATTTTAGGGTTAAACGTCATAAAATTAGACGAAAATTATAACAATTTTCATTCCGTCTAGACGGAGCTTTGGATTTTACAAAGCAATTCGTAACATAATGACGTACCGTAATTTGTTAAAAACGAAGTTTTCGTAATAGAAAATTAAGGGGGCAGACCTGTGAAAATCATCAAAAAATTCAATGTTTTTTTAATGCCTCAAAAAATTCTTTGATCTTTCCTCTTTCTAATGGCGCAAAGCGGATGTTGAAATTCGAAAAATTGCGCTCAGGAGAGCCCAAAACGTTCTGCGGGTGGCCGGGTGGCTGAACCGCCAGGGCTCGCCTGGTCGCTCAGGACAGGACACACGACGAGGAAGGAGTCCTCTAGAGCCCCGGAATCTTTTAGGACCAGTTCAGTAAGTTGCCCTGGCTTATAGTTCGTCGCTATACATAGGTACTGAAAACTTTAAACTCGTTTTTCTCGGAATGACTTTTTGCAAACGGTGTGCACCCTCCAGGCCGTAGTTTTCGAGCTATCGACTTTATATTTCGCCTGAATGTTGTCCATTTATGTGGTCAGGATCTGACAAGGGCGATTTTTTTTAACTCAATTGCAAGGTACCCAAACCAGGGAAAAAGTACCCAAATTTTAACCCATTTTTTTTGTACTCATTTTTTGGGATTTTTTTTCAAGTATTTCGGAGTGGAATTTTAAAAAACCCTCCTGTCAGATTTTAGATACATGTTTTAAGAGAATCTAGCATTTTTTTTCGATCTTGCAGACCCAACGGTTCAGGCACAATCGTGCACACCACAAAGGCCTGCATGCGCTCCAGTTCAAGGCCATGCTGGCCATGTTTGTGGAGCGGTCGGTACCGCTCAGTGGCCAACTTGTAGGGCCAACTTTACTTAATAAATACTGGCAGTACGAACTCTCTGAGTCGCCTCGTTTTTTTTAAATGAATTTTTCCCCAAACCCTTGTATTTCACAGGTCTGCCCCCTTAAGCGAGAAGATTTCGTAAAATTACGATAATTGTTTTTACAGTGTGCACACCGTATGTTTCCTATCGTCCATAAGTGTGCAGAATTTATACGTTTACAAAACGTCTAAAACTCTCACATCACGCAAGTGTGCGACTTCAGCAGTTAGACACCATGTAATGTACAACATCATGCGACTTGCACACGTTGGTGTGAAAATTTTGCACACTTGTTATTTTATACCAGGAAAGCAATATTTTCACTTGACTTTCCGGGGTTCCCAGTGGTCTTTTACAGGCCGCGGTTGTGCCACCTGTTAACAAAATGAAGAGTCGTTCTTTTGCACAACAATAATAATAATCTTGTCTCTTTCTGCTTGCAGGTGTCTAGAACCTGTCGAAAATTGGATCGAGTACGAGACGTAAGTACAATATTTAACTTAAAGATGATAAGTCATCAAATTGTAGACGCTCCCATGGGCGCGAGTTAGGCGCCGGCAAAGTGTACAACGAGTTGGTTACTGGGGGACCCCTTAATTTATTGTTTGAAGTGTTACATTCGTAGCGTGATGGGTCCTCCGTCCTGGACCCGACCGTGACGCAGCGGCGGCAAAGGGAGCGCGGCGGGGCGGCCCGGGAGAAACAGACCATGGAACCTGGATGCTGATAAGCAGCGCTATTGCACAATCATAAGACCGTGTGAAACGTCCCCTCCCCTTCTTCTCATTTTCCTCCTCTCAGTTTTGAGCGACATCTCGTAAATCATCCTGCACTCTTAATGTAAGGGAGCGATTTTGTTCCTTACACTCTAAATGAGGACAATGTTGTAAGCTTAGATGCGAGATGTGTCCTTTGTGCACATCCAAATCAGATTTGGGTTGTATTTGGGTTAAATACAAAAGTATTTGTACCATGTTTGTTTAGGGCAGAATTAATTCTACACCTGTTCCGAGAAATTTGTCTCAAATGTACACTCTCATTTACTTACGGACTCGCTTACGGATAATTTTGTGCAACCGTAA